CTGCTTTCCAGCAGGACATCCCCTAATCTGCTCTTGTGCCTGGTGTCTCCTCCCTCCAGTACTCAGGCTTGTACCTGGTTCTACCCAACGGTGGTTTTACACTCGGCTTCTTGATCGTGTCCCTACAAGCTCTCAGTCAAGGGGCAATCTCTTCCAAGAACAACCGTGCCAGCCCCTTGGCTTGGGCAAGAAAAAGAAGGTCCAGAATCCAGCTCAACTGAACACAAGGTTTTGGAGAGACTTGTGCTCTAACGGTACTACTGCACCTCCCCAGTACAAGGACTTAAAAAGAAAAGAAAAAAAGGTGGGGGGGGAAATCTTAATTTAGAGACTATGACTTGTAAACTACTTGCCAGTTCTGGACCTTGATTTGTTTCCTTGGGAGCCTGCAAAATACAAAACTGGCTTAGTCACGCTACATCAAACTGAACAGGTAGTTTATCATAAATAGAGCATTTACAAGCTTCCCTGTAACAAACAGGAAAAAGCGATATCCTAAAAGATAGAAGTCAGATACGCACTTATGAAGTCAGCAGCAGACAGGATTACTTAATCTACTCATCAAAACAGCATCGTTACGTTGCCAAGTACAGTGCACTTGAGTTATATATCAGCCTGCTACACTCTCTTCAAGTAACGTGTTAATGCGTGGGTAAGAGGAGCATGGTAGGAAAAAATAAGGGTTCAGTATCAGTAAATACTATTAATCTTCTTCCTCAGGCAGGTGCCCCCAGCTGCTGGGCAATGCCTCGGACCACCTCCAGAACTGAACCCCCAACACGTCAACTGCACGCTGACAAGGTGCACACGAGTGTTTGGAACAAGGTGATTCACAGAAAGAAAAAAAAAAGGAAAAGAGACAGTAAAGTATTTTTCCTCTAATCAGTAGCAGAAAAGATGAAAAGAACATCCCAGTTTGAGATTACTAAAACGTAACCAATTTCAACGTGCAACTAACTTAAGTTAGTTCAAAATATTTTTAGCAATGATTTAACATTTATTTATGGTATATTCCTAAGTGTAGTGTTTCCTTTGTGTGGTTTCTGGATACCATCCAATAACTCCAGTCCAAAAAGCACAAACACAGCTGCATGCACACACAGACCAGATGTCGAACAAGCTCCCACGTATTTATGAGAGAGCTGTACGCAAAGTCAGTTCATAGGCCACAAGCAAAAACCCGCCGTGGGAAATAATTAAAATGGACAATTCAGAAAACTTTACAAAAATACTTCTTTTTATTAAAAGCAGCAATTTCAAGCAGAACAATACTCAGAATGTAAACATCACTAAGTTCAGCTCCAGCCCGCCGAACCGTTGAGAAAGTCTACACTAAATCCATCTACCGTACTAGCGAGTTAACAGACTATATTATAATTTGAAAATATATTTTCTACTTTGAATTAAGAAAAAGTAATTTATCGTAGTCTGTCCCAGCGCCAGATACTGGCATCATCACACACGGCTATAAGGATACTGCTATCCCTGCTAAAACTGGTTTGTCGAATGGCAGCAACACATTTAGGATGAGTAAGAGTCGTACACCTATAAATAAAAGAAAATTTATTCAGCTGCAACGTTAATTCTGCCCTTGCTCCTACAGTAGGGAGTGCTGTCTCACCAGCCTCTGGCTTACGTGACCCAGAAGGAACTGAAGGGCAACAGGATTATGCCCCTCATGGTGTATTTTGTATTCCAGGTGTGGCCCTGGGAAAGCAGGAACTGCCTGCTCACCCCATTTTCACTGACACCCTGACTGAAAGCTCATTGAATCGCGGCGTTCAGGACTTCATCACCGATGTTCTTTCCCGGCGTTAGGATTAAATATCGTAATTGGGCGACTAAAGATTGCAGCATTTTCAAGAACTTTGTATATTTGTGTTTTCATGTGTGTGTATATATATAGAGAGACACACATATTTATATTTTATAAAATATATGTGTACATAATTTAATATTTATTGTATATACAAATATTATTATTAATATACCAACTGTGTATACATTTTATTCATATTCCGTGTGTGTGTGTATATATATATATATATTTTATCTATATGCATTGGTGTGTTTATATAAATATGCTATAAAATTTCCCAGCCACACATGCAAGGAACTGAAAAGCCACTCTGTCTTCTTCACACTGTGCCCACAGCTAACCTTTTTATTCTCATTATTCTAGTTCTTTCCCCTGTTTCTCCTTTGTCACGTCCTACACCCACCCAGCGCATCTTCTTCAAGTGCTTTGTAAATTTTCCACGTAATTGGTTTGTAAACTTTTTGAGGAACAAATTTTCTTTTACTGTTCTCTACATATGGTGCCCAACACCATCTGACTGGGGCCTCTCAGCACAACTAAAATATTAATAACGAATGAGTAAAGCAATAAATGTTAACTGTCAGGGGCTGAGAATGCTTATTTACCTAGTATTACTTACATAGTTGTTAAAATAGAAAGTGACTACTACTGTTAAACGATTTCTAGACTTATCAGTAAAGGAAAAAGGAAAGTACCCCAACTCACTGTCTTAACAAAAATACAATTTAAAAAAGTGAGTACTCACTTGGCTTTATGAGGATCCTCTATTTCTAAATCCCAAACATAAAGTTTGCCAACCTGATTGCCCAGGGCAAGCATCTTGAAAAGAAAGCAGAGAATACAGAAGTTTTTAAATACTATCTAAAAAAACACAAGTTAGAGTTTTACACAGGCTCTATAGCTGATAAGTTATGTGTGAATGTTTGAACATGAATGACTTAATGGGTTTGTTGGAGGGGCTAGAAATGCTACGGAATCTGCCTCCTTTATTCCACTTTATTATCCATCTCTGCAGATGGGGGAAGAAGATACCAGTAGGAAACCCTTGACGGAAAATAAATATTTATTTGGTGCAACATTTTCCACCACGCAGAACCACAAATGAAAAATCTGGAGCTCTTCCAGTTTCAAATAAAGCCCTTTGCAGTGAATCACTCTATTTCTCAAACATGACATCAGATGAACCAAGACTTTCTGTTTCCCCTAACTACAAATCAATGAACAGTTAGGCGCCTTCACATACAGCAAAGTCAAAGCTCACGCGTACCTTTTGCCAGAAATCCATTGAAAACCTCATGTACCATATATCACACTGGCTGTAATCAAATCTCCCAAGTATGGTCACATTGGACTCACTGGGCTTGATTTTATCTATATCATCTTCCATTTTGCCAGGTTTCCAGCACACGATGGCATTTTCACAAGACTGGGAAAACAATGAAAAAAGAATAATCTCCTATATTTACTATTTATACTGCACGTTCAGTCTAACTGTAATTTTAACCACTGCTTATCCACACATCCTGACAGTTGACAAAATTCACGCTACACTCTGACACGGCACAGTAATTTCATCTAAGACCCAAATGCTAGCAAAACTTCTATTGTTTAAGATCCTCAAAACAAGCAAATAAGAGTAACGTAGCTGAAAAAGCTGCAACAATACCTTGGAAAGAATTAGATCTCCCAACCATCGTACACAGTCAACGTAGTTCCTATGTATGTCTCTCGTAGAGAAGTCAGGAAAGTGAATTTTCTGGGAAATAAAAGGCCTATGGAGAAAAATGCCGAGTGAGGTTCAGAGAAACACAGAAGCACAAATAGAATTTTTCACGGCCAGTTTTAACATATCTCAATGTTCAGAGGACAAGCTTGTCTTGTGGTTTAACAGTTTTGTAACAAAGCAGACTTTGTATGTGGGGATTTTTTATAATAATGGGAACAGTCCCTATTTTCATCCTGATTCCTAACTAGTTACAAGACTCTGCAGACACAGTGCTGAGCGAAACCACTCCTTCCGATGCTGAATGCAGCTCCCGTTGGCAAACACTTTAAGAACTGATCCAAGTTCAGTTTTCCTGATGCTGCTTCTGCAACATCTAAATCCTTTAATTGAAATGCACACGATTGAAAAAAAAAAACCAAACATCTTTTCTTTTTTAAAAAAGCAGGCTAAAAAAAAAAAGAAAAAAGCATCAATTAATATTTGGTAACATTACCAAAAAAAGCGAGAGTATTTTCACAGTTAGTCTCATTGCTGAACATGTTCAGTGTGTTTTAGACTCTTCAGTTCTCTCAATGGTTTAACTGGAAGTTAAGATTAAAAAGTTGAGGAACTTCATAAAGGAGGATTTATCTATCATGTATCTAATTGTATCTATGTTTAACTTTACAATTTACTCATATCTGGGATCAGGTCAGAGAACGATGAAAATTAAGGTTATTACTATGTCAAGTTTTGTCCCCACCCCAAAGTCAAATAACAAATATAATAATTAGTAATAACTACTCAATATAAAATTATTTGCTCCATTTAATTACACAGATTTGGCTCCCTCCTAGGAATTTTTAGGTGAAAGGAAGAACCGCCAGTGACATCTTTAAACACCATAAAATACAAACTTTAATTCAGAATTATAACAATTCCAGCCCTTTTCTAGTTAGCAGATAAGAAATAATTAAGGTATTTAAAAATAAAAGTCTCAAGACTTGGAATTTGAATTCAATAAAATTCTACAGAGGCCAACATCAGTAAGACATCGCTTCTAGAGAGACTCAGTATCCAGCACAATCCTCAGGTCACTCCCTATCCCCAAGAACTCCCACTTTAGACAGGAATTAACCTGGGCCATTGATGAGAACATTCAAGTTTTACAAAGACAGCCAAGAAGATGAAGACTACGTACCTGTTGGTTTTATTTGGGTTGTACTCATAGGACTCTTTGATGGCATTTATCATTCTCTTGGAATTAATTCTCCAAAGTTTTAGAGAGTGATCCATCCCACAGGACATGATTTTTTCACCAAGAAGATCATAATCCTACGTATACGAAATAATTTTGAGCACTCCCACCCTAAGCTGCATTGTGACGACTCAGTTTTTACTCCATCATATCCATCAAATCAGCGTTTTCTGCACAGACAACGCAGTAGAACTGCACATTTCAGAGAGAGAAATGCTAACAACCTAATCCTGCTCGCTGCAGAGAAGCACACTAACGTACCAATTCTATTTACTCTCTCTCAAGGAAGAGAGGCACATTCTACAGCTCTGACAGACAATGAATCTGCTCCTGGTGCTGCCCCCTCAGTAAACTCACTCGGTTTCATTTTAGGGAGCAGCTTCGGCAGGATTCCAGGGCTACTACATGGATGGTGACTATTTACAACCACAAGAGAATAATATAGTGTTGGGGTTCGCAGAGATGCAGCCCTCACCTTTCAGGCCACGCAACAGGAGTGGAAACAGTTCTTAAGAGCAGCACAAGTCAGCTCTTCCAGTGGACATGTGTCTGCTCACAGCCACTGACAAGCAGCCTAACTCACCTGAAATAACTTCTTTCCTTCACTACCATGTCTCTCAAGGCTTATTTGTGTGGTAAGACCTCGAGAACTTCAAAAGCAGGACTATCACAAAAACTTTTTTACTTTTTCTAGCCCCACTGAGCTCTATTTTGTTTAATTCTAGGCCACACTGTGAGAAAACCAGCTGCTGAAAGACACAGGAAGCAAACACCCGTCCTGTACATTGAGAGGTGGCCAGATGAATCCAACCACCTTCAATTTAACTTGTCTATTCCCTTAAAGGAGTATTTTGTACTTCGGAGTTTTTTAAGTAGCTATATTGTCCAAATAGTGCACAAGAAGATGAAAAGCTGCACATTGTAGGCTTACTACCCTTTGTAAATCTAAATCACTGCCCCACAGTCTTCCACTTACTGCACTTAACACCTCATCCCTGTGCCCTTCTACTCCTCCAAATATTGCAACCAGCGTGTCTGTCTGGATGTTCCACAGTCTCAATGCATGATCTATAAAGAACAAATAAAATTACATGCTGCTTTTTATACGTACAGACGAACAACATATTTCAGCTTAACTAAGTTTCAATAAAAGGTGCTCACATAAACATCAAAAAGGCACTTAATTCTTCTTCACTTGTAAGAAACAATGGGACTGCATTAACGAAAATTGCCATTATAACGGAACTATTGTTAGAGTAATTTTGCAAATCAACAAGTGTGCTCACTCCCAGCCCCCAGGGACAGCTTCTAACAAAAATATACTCGGATCTTTACATCATTCAAAAAAACAAAGAAGGGTGTGATCTGGACAAGTACACTTTTATTCAATCTTATCTCAAAAAATAATTGTATGCATCAAAACATGCTAGAATTCCTTTCAGCCACTCTTACATCACGATTCAGAGAAGTTTTGATTTTCCATTTTTTTAACCTTTAGAATATTATACTTTATGAACCACAGACTGGAGGTACGGGAGAAATGGTTTCTATAAACAATACATACACCAAAATCAATCGGGCCAATCCACTTCTTTAAAGAAAGTTTTAAGATATTTTTTTTTTGGTTCCACAAGTACACTGCCCCAAATTACAAGCACCATTAACTAGAAAGCCACATCGTCCCAAATATTATCTTTTTTTTCTCTGCTGATCTCTCAGCCAAGCAGTTCTGAGATTCCAATATTCCCCTGCCTCGTGCCCTCCCAGAGATAATCCGCAAACTCTGGAGTAGGTACTAAAACTTGTACTACTATGGCTGATGTTAAAATATGAGTAAAAAGAAAACCTAAAAAATATACAGAACTCAAGAAATTCAACGTTAGACTCAGAGCACAAAATGGACAGTTGCAAGCATAAGAGAGGTTCTCTGTTCCTATTCTCGTATAGCTTCAACATTAACATTAAATATCCTAAAAGTCAAAAGTCCCCTTATGTGAACATTTCCAACTCTTTAGCAGATCAAGTATTCCCCGACTCATCAAAACAGTCAAGATTATGAAGTTGTGACTCTTTAGACATTCTGGACAAGCCCGTAAGACACTATTAACAAAAACTCGCTTCTCCCTTCACTGATGTGCTTTTTCACACAAAGCCCCAGTAAAGTCAGAGCTGCTCCTGAGCGATCGATAATTAAAGTTTTCCTCTTTAACAGGCTGGAGAATGCGACACTAAAACATCCCCACTAGATGGCAACATGATTCAACAACTGAAAAAAATCTAATGGGGGAAGAGCAGTCCCAAGGTTCATGTTTCTTCTCACCTAAGAGCACTCTTCACAATCTCTTTGCGCCACAGGTGGAGTTATGTTTATTGTAGGCCATGGATTTAACAGGTACACGATATGCAGCCATAAAAGGGCAAGATCTGCTCCAGACTTTCGGGGTAAACTTGTTCGGTGCCATTCATAAAAAATTCATGGAGGTTTTGGTCATTTTCAAGACCAAAATCCAATCCAAAGTATCCTGATTTATATATATTAAAAAAAAAAGGTTTTTTTCCTCACCTTTGCTTACAGATAAAAGAAGATTTGGATCTCTTGGATGGAATTTCAGTTCATTGATTGCATTCCCATGGCCCACGTAGTGCTGAGACAGAATTCAGAGGGCAAGTTATCATTCCCCCTCATGTTTATATGGATTTAGAAGACTTGACTTTCATGCCTTACCAAAACATAAGCTGTACCTCAAACTTCGGAGCACTCACCTTTATGCACTGCATTGTAATAGGATTAATTATCCTGATAATACCCCTGGAGCCTGCCACAGCCAGAAGAGGATGGCTTGTATTGCTGTCATACGTCCACGCACAGGTATAGAAATTTTCATCTGCCTACAACATCTTACGTTAAGGAACACAGAAGAAATAGGAGGTTTAAAATTTTTTTTTTTAAACACATGATTTTTTTTTTAAGTAAACTTGTTGCTATTTTATGCAAGTGCCCAAGAGTCTGCTGGACCCAATAAGAAAAAGACAGATACTCAGTTATACATCTGCAAATACAAGCAACATCACCTTTTCCATAACAGCCAGTTTCCTCACTTCTGTCCTGTAACACACAAGGAACACTTTCTCTCTTTTGGCATCACTTTTCAATCTCTTTCTTGAGAACATCCTTAGACTGGGAATAAAACAAGGATGAATCAAAACTGAATTCACGAGTTATTATGTACCACGGGTGATTAACACAAGCTATTACCACTTCAGAGCATGAAATGTAATTCTTAGGCTTTACACCCAGTTCCAGTTCACAGGGAAACTGAGACGACTGCAAAGCAATGAATGTGAAACACTGCACAAAGAGTAGCATCAGGAAGATTAAAGTGACGGGGAATCAGTTTTCAAATATTTTAAAACAAGCAAGGTCCGTGAGTCTACATTTTGAATACTTTTTCAGTAAGACAGACTTCAGGATGTGGGACAGAGGTGAGATGTAGACCTAATGTAAGAAATGTGCCACACGAGCAAAGCATTCAACCACAGACAAAACCTTCATGCGCTTATTTCCTACAAAGACTTCATTTTTGGTTAACAGGAAGCAAACAAGCGGCTTTTTAACTTAAAAGGATACATCAGCATCCACATAGGACTGCAACAGACGGATTTCACCTTGGGAATGACATTCATATAAAGTAACCTGGAGGAAAAAAAAAAAGTGGGAGACGTTGCTGCTTCCTTTCAGAAGAAAATCACATGCCCCTGTGTATTCTCTGCCTGATGGGGAGAGGCAGTGTGCCTTTACGGTTTAGATCTTGTCCATCAACTGTTTGTTTCCAGCCGGTGGAAACAGTTTGATGAAATGACCACAGCAGTTTCAGTAAAGCACCTCTCCAGCACTTGTCACCAGTCCTTCCCAGATATTGAAATCTGTTAATTGAACTGTCTCAGCAAGATTAAACTCTATTTGGATTTAATTATTGCAGCCCTCTGTATTGTGTTTGTGTGGCAAGGTTTTGGTAGAGGAGGGGCTACAGGGGTGGCTCCTGTGAGAAGCTGCCAGAAGCTTCCCCCCAGTCCAAGAGCCAACACCAGCCGGCTCCAAGACGGACCCACAGCTGGCCAAGGCCAGGCCTGGCAGTGATGGCAGCAGCACCTCTGTGAGAACAGATTTAAGAAGGGGGGAAAAAATACAGTGCAACAACAACAGCAGCCAGAGAAGAGAGGAGGGAGAATATGCGAGAGAAATAACTCTGCAGACACCAAGAGGAGTGAGGAAGGCAGAGGTGCTCCAGGCACGGGAGCAGAGGTTCCCCTGCAGCCCATGGTGAAGACTATGGTGAGGCAGGCTGTTCCCCTGCAGCCATGGAGGTGACAGCAGCATAGATGTCCACCGGCAGCCCACGGAGGACCTCGCACCAGAGCAGGTGGATGCACCCAAAGGAGGTTTTGACGCCACGGGAAGCCCAGGCTGGAGAAGGTTCCTGGCAGGACCTGTGGCTCCTGAAGGACTGCTCCCCGTGGAAGGGACCCATGCTGGAGCAGTTCATGCAGGACTGCACCCTGTGGGAAGGACTCGCGTTGGTGAAGTTTATGGAGAATTGTCTCCCATGGGAGACACTGGAGCAGGGGAAGAGTGTGAGGGAGGAGTCCTCCCCTGAAGAGGAAGGAGGGGCAGAGACGTGTGATGAACTGACCACAATCCCATTCCCCGGCCCCCTGCACTGCTCAGGAAGAGGAGGCAGCAAAAATTGGGAGTGAAGTTGAGCCCAGGAAAAAGGGAGGAGCGGGGGGAAAATGTCTTAAATTGACTTTTTATTTCTCATTATCCTACTCCCAAGACGAGCCTGTTTTGCCCATGATGGTAACTGTTGAGTGATCTCTCCCTGCCCTTATCTCAATCCCTGATCCTTTCCTTCCGTTTTCTCTCCCCTGTCCAGCTGAGGAGCAGAGCAATCGAGCAGCTCTGGCAAGACTGTCTTTTAATGAGCCACTGATACCTTGTTTAATCTTAGTTTAGCACTTCTGGTAACTGCCAGGTGGAACAAACCGGAAAGGCTTCTCGTTTATTCACTACACTTGCACAGAATGCACTCCAGGAGTTATTTTCAAGACAGAAATGACATAGATCCTCATTTAGAAAAAGCCTACATGTTCGCTCCCCACAGGCCAGTAATTTAGCTACTGAGCTGCCTGGCATCATTGCAGACACTTCTCATCCCATTTTAGATCATACGTTTGGAAAGAGTAACGTCTAAGAGTAATTTTAGCAAGAAGATACACCCTCCTTATCCCATTTTATATTCCTGAAGGATTTTTTTTTTTTTTTACTATATAGGCTAATTCCCAAATAACTAACACACGACTTGATAAAACAGTCCAGAGGATGCAGCTCTCCCAGATAACAGATGATACACACTTCAGAAATAAAGCTTTTTACATGAAGTGTCCTGTGTTTGTACTAAACACAGGTAAAGGGATTGGTTGAAAAAAAGAATGCAAGCAGAACCACAAGGAAGAGCTTATGGTTAAAAACAGATTACTCACTCTGTTGCTGCCTACAGTGGCAAAAACGAGAGGATCACCTTCTTTACTGTGCCAGTTAAACTGGACTCCAAACAAAGGCTGACCATGGTCCTCCTGTAGATGTAAAGTTAGATTAGAGACCAAAAAAACACCAAAAAAACCCAAAACCCATCCTCAACACTCACAAGCATATTATTTCTGTGAAATTCAGTTGTGGTGGTAAACAGCTTAACCGATATGTTTTCCTCCTCAAACTACTAGGTTCACATTCAGTATAATTTCAGATAGGTAACACAGTTTTGTAACGTCACATTTTAACTTGGCTGTCTTAAAGAAGGTTAAAGGAATATTCTGACACCCCTCACCTTTCTTCTCCCACCAAGCTTTTAAACATGAGGAAGAAATGCCTCAGTTATGGCTAGAAGCCAGCAGAACTCAGCTGCGTTTGCAGCTTTACTACTTTGTTTTGCAATTTTCAATAAGGCAATCTCTGCACCTAAGGCCACATCTACATGTATTTTACAGTTATAATACTTCCACGCAATGATTTACAACTTCACAGAGGAGAATTATTAGGACAGAGAGGAATTGTACTGATACCATGGTGGAGAAGGGCCACATTTAACTATTACAGCACAGTTAGGTCTTGCAGCTCCATCACAGACACGACAAACCCCAGCATGTCAGAATGCTGCCGCAAAGTTCACGTCTACAAAATGTTTTCAGTTTGCCCTCACAAACATTTGCCAGAGAAATGTCAAGTATTATTTTTACACAGCTTACACCAGCTTAATAGAGAAAGAAAAGAGGCAGATATGTTTATGAATTGTGAAGAATATGGTGGGGTTTGTTAATAATTGATAACAGTATTTTGGCTTGTCCTGACAGGATGTTTTCAGCAAGAATAATGTTCATTAAAGTGCCTCCCCACAGGGGACTGTCTGGGACAGTGCAGGCAGGAAGGAAGTGTCTCACGATGGCTGTTAGGCAGCCCTCAGATGGCAGTGCTTCAGAGACAACCCCAAAAGTATTAGCCCTGGCCTATCCAAGAACCAAAGAACAAATCTGAGGAGGGAGTGTGGCTGGGAAGTCCAACACTATTCAGAAAGAGAAAAGTAAGGAAGTCTGGAAGAATTTAAGGTGTTATTATTTACTGAGAAAGGCAATTATTTGTTTTTAAGGGACATAGCAAGGAGAGCTAGAAAGGGAAAACAAAATCTTTCAGTGATAAAGAGGCTCTCCTGAACTTCTTAAAGAGAGGTAACAACTTTCAAAGCTGAATACAGATTTAAAAGAATTATTCCAAGTTTAACTCAAAGTATTACCCATGATAACATGAAAGAACAGACGAGTGGCTTTATGTGATGTGGGATATGCGATATTAGCAAAGGGAAAAGTAGCAAGGCTATTAGTGACTCCACAACAGAAGGAAGAAGCAGGTACTCAGCATCTGTAAAGCATTATGGTTTAACTAGAGATGAGCATGAGTGTAACTGCATGCCATAAAACTACATACAAAAGCCATCATTTCTAATGTCCAATAAAGTTACAAATTTTAAATACACTCAAAAAAAAAGCCTGCCTTGAAGAGAATGGCTGAGATATCAAACACAGAAGAGTTAAAAAAAAAAAAACACAACACCTCCCTCTAATAATTAGTTGGGTTTGAATTTCTGTGCTCATTCATACTGGTCAATACCGAGGATTTTTGACATACGGTACAAGGTTAACACAGGAGAAATGCATAGATTGTTATTGCTTTAATGCAGGGATACATTAGTGGGGTTTGCACTTGATTTTCCAAAATGTGCACAGTTTCTGATGAAATGGGAAAAGTAAAGATAGAGATGGTTTTTCCCCCTCAAGATAAAATATGTTTCCACCATCAGTTGTGGTAAGGTTGTGCTTTTCTAGGTAGGACCCAGACTAGGGTGATACACAATAAGTAGAGACAGAACAGAAGGTCATACTGTCTCTGTATTTCTATATTTGAGTACATACCCGAAGTATTGAGTAAGCTTTCTCAAAGACAACCTATTTCCTTGGAAAAATTACTCTGCAAGTCAAACATCTTCAGACTACTTACATTATCCACACTACATTCCTCACATGGAGTACTACAACCTCCAAGAGCCTGACCGTAACACTTGGCTGTTGATTAATGGTTGGAGGAGTCAGGTAAGGCTCTCACAGGAAGCTACTACGGTAACTGAAGAAGTTATGCTCACCTCATTTAAATTACCATCACCCTCACTGGCCAGAGACAGCACATAGCTACTCCAATAACACTTGTCGGCCTTAATTTTTGTCCTAAGAGACAAGTGGAGATCGGTGACAAGTGGAGTTCCTCAGGGGTCTGTTCTGGGTCCAGTGCTGTTCGACATCTTTGTCAGTGACACAGAAAACAGCAAAACAGCATCGAGTGCACCCTCAGCCAGTTTGCCGACAACACCGAGCTGTGCGGTGCGATGGACTCGCTGGAGGGCAGGGATGCCATCCAGAGGGACCTTGACAGGCTTGAGAAATGGGCCAGTGTAAACTGCATGAGTTTCAACAAGTCAAAACGCAAGGTCCTGCACCTGGGTTGAGCCAATCCCTGGCACAAACTGGGCACAGAGTGGGTTGACAGTAGCCCTGAAGAGGAGGATTTAGGGGTGTTGATAGATGAGAAGCTCAACAAGAGCCAGCAGGGTGCTCATGCAGCCCAGAAGGCCAACCCTGTCCTAGGCTGCATCAAGAGGAGTGTGGCCAGCAGATCAAGAGAGGGGATTCTCCCCCTTTACTCTGCTCTTGTGAGACCCCACCTCGAATATTGTGTCCAGTTTTGGTGCCCCCACCATAAGAGGGACGTGGATCTGTTGGAGCGTGTTCAGAGGAGGGTCACAAGGATGATCCAGGGGCTGGAGCACCTCTGCTATGAGGACAGGCTGCGGGAGCTGGGATTGTTCAGCCTGGAAAAGAGAAGACTCCAGGGGGACCTTATAACTGCCTTCCAATACCTGAAGGGAACCTACAGGAAGGCTCAGGAGGGACTTTTTGCAAGAGTGTCCACCAACAGGACAAGGTGAAATGGATTTAAGTTAAAGGAGAACAGATTTAGATTGGATCTTAGCAAAAAAATCTTCAGTACAAGGGTGGCAAGACTCTGGAATAAATTGTCCAGAGAAGCTGTGGATGCCCCCTCCCTTGAGGTGTTCAAGGCCGGGTTGGACGAGGCCTTGAGTAACCTGGTCTAGTTGAGAGGTGTCCCTGCCCATGACAGGGGGGTTGGACTAGATGATCTCTGAGGTCATAGAATCACAGAACATCAGGGGTTGGAAGAGGCCTCAAAATACCATCTAGTACAATCCCCCTGCCAGAGCAGGATCACCTACAGTCAGTCACACAGGTCTCTTCCAACCGAGGCCATTCTATGAAGAGCTAAACAACGAAGCAGTTTTTTAAACTTTTAGGTGCTGCACACTATGGTTATCCTGAGATGCCAAGTATGTCACAGAAATCTGACCCAGATGCTCGTCCAGAAGTAGAATTGTGAAATGCAATCTTGACCCTGGTGTAAAGGGCAAAAAATCCAGAGTACTCTGGTACTTCCTGCATCAGAGAAAGAATGCAGGGGAGAAAACAGACCTAAAATTGTTACAAAAGCAAGTAAATAAATAATCAAGTGTTTAGTTCTGCCCTTACTCACTTGACTCAGGTCAGAAAGTAAGACTAGATCTGTTTTTAGACTGAAGCAGGGAAGTTAATACTGAGCCAACACAAAAAATGATCACCTGCAACTACATGAACACATTTAATACATCGTCGCCCACGCTGCCAGAAGGGAACCAACTGATGACATGTGCATTTCCACTTCTCAGAAGTGAAAGCAAGCCAATATTGGCAGTGGGTCCGGTTACCTCTCCTTTACACATGAAGCTAGAACCTTGCCTGTGGTTGGTTACTGATTCCCAGCTCAGGGAACAGAGAGCAGAAACTGAGAGGCACCATGGGACTGCTAACAATCACCGAGCCTCTTAGCAAGAGCAAAGGGTAGGGTAAATAACAGCCTTATTCTAAAGGGAGCACATCAAAGCCAAATACACCCTGTTTGCTGAAAGATCTATAAGCAAAACACGTGTAGATGTATGTGAGGATGTGCATCTGTTGGCTACATGTGCTCATTTATAAATGACATTTCCATTCAGCCCACGGAGAGTAAAAATTTTTCAGTACATCTTACAGTAACTCCCTACTGCAAAGAGACAAAGAAAAAAATAGAAAAGGAGAGGTTTTTTATTTCCTGTCCTTTTTTAAGTTATATTTTTGTTTTCCTGGTGCTTAAATTTCACCCAAAATAACTTCCACAGTAGTGTTTAAAACGCATATTTAGCAAGCACTGAGTTTTTCAGGCTGAATCATAACAATTTAACATTCAACGGAGACAGTAATGGACATAATGGTTTCCCTAAGAGAAAAAAAAAGTAAAAAGCAAAAGAGGGGAAAACAAGAGTAGGAGAGTAGAAAACCACCTAACTTACACATCCCTAAATATTAAAACTAATTTCCATGTCTTTAAATCATGTTGACTCTTCATTAATTTCAGTATATGCACTTTACAACACAGTTCAAAGACATATAAACTCTAGGATATATGATGTGACATCCAAAGAGTCACAAATATCTTTCTGAAGCCATATACGACACTCAGTCATTAAGAGTTTATCTCCACAGCATCTGCAAAATCAGTACGGAAAAAGAGGAAAAAGAAGAGAGGTTTCCTCAGACACAAAGTAAAAAGGAGTTACCAAATTTGGCTGCTACCTAGGCTTTGTATTAACACGCATGTTTATTATTATTAGCATTCGTTTCAGTTCAAAGAGAAATGGGGGGGGGAAGATAATAAAACTACCCGACTTAGCTGAAACGCTACATTACTCCCTCCCAGCCTGACTGCACTTGCACAGGAATCTGTTTCCAGGCCCTGATCCAAACGCACTGAAGTTGGGGATTGCTTAACTCGATAGGGTGGTCTTTTGGGTCACCCTGTTGTGGGGCCTGGCTTGAGGCTGGAGTGAGGGAACGTTCTGTTTTCCCCCAAAGACACTTGAAACGTACTAAACCCTTTGGGACATTTAGTCTGCCGACAGAAAACAAACACACTCAGCGAAACTCAGCGCTTGTGAAACGTTTGGCTGCCGAAAGGCCTGCCTCTGCGACCCAAGCACAACTTGAAGCCACCAGAAGCCCTGTTTGCAGGGGCGATACATGCAAGCTCAGTGGTTTGAGCACGGTGCTGGCAACAACACCGAGGTCGTGGGTTCGATTTCCGCTCAGTCCCCATGTGTTGCCTGGTCTAGTCGAGAGGTGGCGTCCCTGCCCATGACAGGGAGGTTGGACTAGATGATCTCTAAGGTCCCTTCCAGCCTAGGCCATTCTGTGATTCTGTGAAGGAACAGCTGCCTACTCAGGTGAAAATGAAAGAACTTCCCTTCCTCCTTCATTCTGAAAGGACTGGAGATAATCTCTGTACTTCAAAAAACACATTAATATTAACATGTTGCCCCAGATATACTTGTGTCAGTTTGACTTTCTATCCCAATTTCTCTAGCAGCAAAGCTCATTTAGGAGGTTTCCATGCTCCAAATCTCATACTCTCCCTGCTGAGCTACCTCAGCATTTCAGGCAGGCTGAAGCCAAAGTTCAGAAAAAGCTACACCCACAGCTCAACAGTTAAGTGAGGGGAACGACAAAAACCTCTTAAAGCAATTCTGCAGAAAATATCCACTATGGAGTTGCACGCATCCTCTTGTTAGCCAAATATAAAGTTTAACAGAACTCCCATCTTGTTCCAGGCAAAATCTTCCCTTTATTTAGAAATCTTAGAAAAATCAGATTAGATGGCATATTTACAGCTTTTGCCACATGAAAATCCCCCACAGGGATGGGGCCCAGAATGGAAGAACAACATTCTGACAGTGTAAAAGAATCAAAGACAAAATTCATTCAGTCTGCTACCAGTGCAGAAAAAAAAAAGTATATATCATATATACATATACACAACATACATATATATATGTGTGTATATATATATAAAAAAAAAACATATGCAGGGAAAAAAATATATACACATATAAAATACCCTAAAATAAAAGAACAGGGAATAAAAACCATGAATCTACATCCCTTAATACCAGAAGATAAACATGAGTGAACACATAATCATGACACTCATGATAAATTAACCAAATTGCACTATATAGTATTTATGACAATTGCCAGAGGACAGAAAATACCTGATCTGGTAAGTGAGGAAAAAGCTACTCTAAGACTGCTGGGTTGTTTTGTTAGATTTTTTTAAAATAAATTTCAAGGGGTAGAAATATCTTTACAGGTTCTGTGCTTTGCATTAAGTTGTCACAGGTTTTGTTTTTTTCAATCTGTTTATCCAGCTTCTTATCTTTATCTCAAGCAACTACAGCTTCAATGAAATACATAATTATATCACACATAATTTTGCAAGCCTGTACTAATTGCAGCACGACATAGTGTTTCATATTTCTTCAGAAAAGTACTTCCTTCGAATGAGTATGGAGCATAACTGCATTCAGGTATTTAAAAACAACTATTCTGACACCGTCTCACAGTCAACATTAACATTGCTGCCAGCAAGAGGCAGCCAGCATTCCCATGCAGAAGCTCTGACACACCTACCTTTAGGCTATTTACACATTTGAAGGAATATTTGCACTTCTTTGACTTCCACTTTCCTTTCCCCCAGCTTTTTCTTCCTGGAGCATTAGGAGTGTTTGTTGGTGTATCAGGGCGTTCGGTGTTGGTCCCGCTTTCAATGCTAACGGCATCATCCTGAAAACATCGAAATTACACAGCGTGTAATAAAGAGAGCTGCCTAAATTCAGCTAATTGCGCAGCACCTGGCCTTTTCACGCCTTCTTCCCCTCCATAAGAACAGAGGATCTCCAAGGACCTGGTGTTATTTAGATTCACGTACTTAAATCAAGTAACAGCATCCCTCCCTAGAAACGGAACAGGAGTCACATGAGGACTAATCCAAGAGGGAGAGACATGAACTGTGATCTAGTGAAGCTTCCCCAGAATGCTAGTAGCTGCTCTTAAGAAAGTATCAAGCAGTTGCTTTCCCTAGAAAACATCTTTGACGTAGATGAAACGAGTACTTGGGAAGTACTGAAGAAGGAGGGTGGTTATGTAAAAACGTTGTGCTTAGCCAGATTAAGAACTCAGCCATTCTGAGACTTCGGTGTACCCTCAAAAGCATCAGGCACAGCACAGTTCTGCAAATAAGTCAGTCCTTTAGAAAAGGAAGGCCCACCTCTCCCTCCTGCTCTTTCCTACAGATCCTTGCTTCAATTAAAAGCTAAGTTAAAAAAAATATTAAAAAAAAATAAAAGAATCACTTGCTGTCTGGTGAGATAACTAATCCAAACTAGCTCTCAAACTACCAGCAGCCCAAGCTAATGTTGGGGAGAACTGAAAGGAAAGAAAAAGAAAAAAAAAAAAGAGAAGAGTGTGCAAAACAACTCAGTCATTGAGCAGTTTTAGATCAGCTTTGGACACTTAAAAGAAACAATTTCATATGCAGTCTGACCACAGGACGCTACTCAAAAGAACATTTCTATTTCCAGCATCACCCATCAGAGCACACTTCAGCTTCACCTGCATCATAACTGGCAACCCTGTGCTTCCATGTGAGTAAGTTCATCTTGCTAAAAATTAGCATTTTCAATTTTTTTTTTTTTCCTGGCAAGGTAGTCTGTTCACTTTCCATCATAGCGAGGGGAAAACAACTCATCCCAAGGCCATGGGATTGCTATATTTGAGCTAAGGGAGACGGAGGCAGACAACAGCCTGTCACTGGAAGAGATTAAGTGTAACGTGAAGATGCATCAGGAACTCCGCTAGGAATACGGAATAAGGTCAGCTATAAACACTAATACACTAATTCCCACCAAACATTTATTCTTTGTCCCAGTTTCATATCTGTATCATCAGAAGACGGTGGAAGCGTATCAGTCTTTGATTGCCCAACAAACAGAAAATCAGAGGAGAAAACTGAGAGGAGAAAAAGGAGGAAAGACAACACACAAGCCTTTAAGCGAACTGCCCAAACCTGGAGTCACTCCCTTCACACTGCACCCCAAAAAGAGCCTACCCTACCCTAATACGCATAACCGATTTTAACAATTTTCCAGTTTCTTCTCCTTTACCCTAAGAAATTTCAGAGCTTGCCAAATTCTCGTCTCCCAAGCATCTCTGCTAGCCAGAGTCACAATACTTCAGAAGACTTCTAAGTTTTCTCTGGATGAGTCAGGTATTGTCACTGGAAGAACACAAGGTACCTGGTACAGCGCAACTCTACCAGGTATCTGCAACTGTAACATAACTGACAAATTTGCAACCAGCATTCTTGCGGAAATAAACCCACACCCTTTCTCCAAATCAATACTATCATGCCAACTTTTAAGCAGAATCTCTGTCTTTCAGCAATAGTGGAATCCAGCAACAAACTCTTGAAAAGGGAGTCCCTTCATCATTGAGACTGGTCACATCCCGAATAACCAGAGAGCCCACATCTGAGGTCCGTGATAGCCTACAATAGACATTAAAACAAATGTTGTCTGTCACCGAATTACACTTGGATTCACAAGTGTAACAAGGCAGGCAGGCACACGTAAACTCAGCAGCAGTGGTGCAGTGCACATCAGACCTGCCTGTTGCCTCAAAAGCAGCACTTCCACGGGTTGTTGGGGGATGTGGTCCAGACCCCTCACTTTATGGATATAACCAGAAAAAACAAACAACACACTGCATAAAGGTAACACCCAACTAACACCCTCCAGTCCCATAACTACATAACATGATTGCTAGATACCTTTGATTAAGTTTGTCAGCATAAAGCTGCTCTGTATCGATCACATCACTTCTGTTCTGAACGCAAGATTTGAGCCTAACTTAAAAGATTGTAGCCCTCATCCCCTGCTGCCTTCTCCTTCTGGCACAAGCTTATGAGCACTCTCCCCTAACTGCTCATTCACCAAAGGGCTGCACACACACGGTACCCTGCGACCTGACGGTGAAGACGCACGACACAAAACTGCGAGAAAGATGGGAAATTTCGCTGCTCTGCGGCAAAAAAAAAAAAAAAAAAAATACAAAGTCTGCCATCTGACATTTTGAAGCCGACTTGGAGACAGAGCCCGCTCAAGAGTTTGGGCCTCAAATTCTCCCTCACCCACGTGGAGGAGCAGAGAGCGCCTCTCCCTGCCAGGGCCTCCCTCCCACGGCCCCTCTGCCGAGGCGGGCGGGCTGACACCCTCCTCTGTCCCCCGTCACCGAGGAGTCACCAGCGGGATCGGACGGGG